GTGTGTTCCTGCTCTGCTACACGTTCTCCCAGTTTACCCCTTCTGATAATCCTTGCACACTCTGTAACCTTGGGAATGAATTGACCCGATTGCAATCTACACCCTGAAATAAGCTTGCAATATTCCACCCATCCAAGTCACCTCCAGCACAACTACCTTCGTCGTTTACACTGCCCACGCTAGTACCATCAGCAGAAGGGTCCTCCGCTTCTTCATTTCCCTAGCGAATCTTGGATTCGACCTTTCAGAGGAGCGTCGCAGTGAGCTATGCTCCTCCAAACTTCGCCGGGAAACCCACTGCAACTCTAGTTTTTTCTCCAACTTCCGCTACTGCGCACAAGCCCCCCCCCTTTCTCGCGACTTGGGACGATGATAGACCATTAACATTGTCTATCAACGCCCCAAGAGAAACCCCTTTGCCCCGACCCACATGATATTTTAAGTTATCACGTGGATCCTTCAAGTGGAACCTCCTTTCGGTGTTACACCCACCCGACCCGCCCGTGTGACCTTTTAAGTTGTCACATGGGCCCTTTCAACACTGTCCCGGCTCAAACTTCACCCCGCACGACCCACCCTCCACCTTCAACGGCTCGGACCAAACCTTTCGGCTCCCCAACCCATCCTGCCTCTTTGCCACGTCAGCATAAGAAGAAGGACCCGCCATTAATTTGTTTAATTCAAACCCATTTGAATTAGTTTCCTTAATTAGGTTGCTTGTTGTTTGGTTTTCCCTAGCCGGCTCAGTAACCCCAAAAATAACTTTCATCTGCTCCACTTTTCATCTCCCACCCTCTGCCCTCCACGTGTCCACCACCCAGCCAGCTCATCATCTTCTACCTTAGGAGCACCTTCCCACCACGACCGTTCAACTTCTGAAGCCACCCACACCTTGTACCAAGCTTCATCTGAGCAGATTTCAAAGAACCTCGGCAAGTTCTCATGCCTTACACCAGCTACCTGTAACTCCACGACAGCCAGATTTCGTTTATCAGCTTTCACCAAGATGCCTCCCAGACTCTGCACGATGTGCTCAAGAACAGAGTCTCGCCAGAGGTGAAATGGAAGGCCTACAAGCTTTAGCCGGACACACCCATCTTCTCTGCAAAAGGGAACAGCATAGCTTCACTCCCAATACCTATCTCCCCTGCAACTGTACTCAGAACCCTCATCCAATCTGTCACTCCTTTATTAGCCACTGGCACCCTTCTTTTCTTCCACTCATCCTTCCCTGCTCCTACCAATAATCTTCGAGAGCAAGCAACCACCATTTCAGTCGGAAAGCCTTGCACTTCTACATTCCCAGAGGTACTAATCGAAACTGCCCCTTCCTGAACTTTTTGACCCTGGTCTTTGGATTTTTGACCAGTTCTCTTCACCCCATCCACTCTCTTATCTTTCGAGGCTACAAGGAAAGACTATAGCACCTTCACAAAATCCATCCACCCTTTCCGCAATCTCCCTTCCGGCACACATAGCATTTGCTTTCCATTTGTTCCAAAAAACTCCACCACAGAGATGAACCATCCCTTTCTGTTTCTTTTCACTTCTGTTACATATTTCTTACCTAGAACTGACATGGAGTTTTTCCAGCCATTCACCTTACCAGAGTTGATAGCCCCATCTATGAAACCTTTCATCCAGACAATGACCTCCTTTGATACCAACACAGTCGCCTTGTTATTCTCTCTGATTTTCATTGCATCCTCACCTTTGAACCTTTCCTCTTCGAACTTGAAAGTCTTGGCTTCGATCGACACCTCAAACCTCCATCTTCCTACTACTCTGAACCTTCTCTCGTCCTCCATCTTCCTCTCTCTCAGCACATCACATGTATCCATGTTTAATAGAGACAGCTACATCATGTTTCCAAAGATGGAAAGGCAGCCCAATCAACCTCACTATTTGTTACTGAGCGCAGCATTTCACTAGGCAATCCTTTTGCACTTCACTAGGCAATCCTTCTGCATCTGTTCCTTCCAAAACATTAACACCATTTGTTACTGAGTGCAGCATTTCCTTAGCAAAGTCTTCTATTTATTGAGCAATTGATGATATAGGATAAAGTTTGTTAGCTACCAGACGTATTGCCTTCATCCTTACTTCTTCCAAAGGATGAACTGCACTCTGTCAAGAGGTCATAAATAACATCAGTCAATGTGAAAGATCAGAAGAATATATCCACTTAACATGGAAAACAAAAGGGAAGAACTTTGAAGAATTCTTGGTTAGGAAGAAAAGAGGATCAAAAACTATTAAAGAAATAGCACCTAGGGAATAATTATGAAAATCATGAATATGTTGATTTTCTATGCTTTAATATGAAATTTATACTTTTCTTACGAAAATCATGAATAATTATTAAAGAAATATGGTTATGGTACCTAGGGAACTACCCTAGGATCTATGTTTTTAACATAAAAAGTCCATCGCCTAGGTGACTAGGCGACAAGGCGCCCCCTAGTTGCCTAGCCTCGCCTTGGCGCCTTGAAAACTATGTTGTAAGTGGGTGTACACTGTTAAGTTTTTACCTGATGGGAGTGTTGAGAGGTTGGAAGCTCAGTTGGTTGCCAAAGGTTATTCACAGATGTATGGTATAGACTACACAACCACCTTCTCCCCAGTTGCCAAGATTGGCGCCGTTCGTGTTTTGATCTCCCTTGTTGCTATGTATGGTTGGCCTTTGTTTCAGTTCGACATCAAGAATGCCTTTTTACATGGTGATCTCCTTGAGGAAGTGTATATGGAGCAACCACTAGGGTTTGTTGCTCAGGGGGATGATGGTAAGTTGTGTAGACTTAAGAAAGCTATTTATGGGCTTAAACAGTCTCCCCATTCATGGTTTGACATATTCAGAGAAGTGGTGAAAAAATTTGGTGTGAAAGGTCGACCATTCCGTATTCAGCTATGAGTCCAGTGTTGGAGAGATTTTATTGGTGGTATATGTAGATGATATTGTTATCATTGGCAGTGACAGGTTGGCAGATTTAGTGAAGTGGTGAAGAAATTTGGCATGAAGCAGTGTCAGGTCGATCATTCCGTATTCAACTGTGAGTCCAGTGTTGGAAAGATTTTATTGGTGGTATATGCAGATGGTATTGTTATCATCAAGGTTCAAAGTATCGATACGCCCCGTGTATCGGTACTAAAAACTCACCACTCAATGTTTTTTATTTAGTTTTGTTTTTTTCAAAATTTGATTTTTGGAGATGTTTTTTAAGTGTTTTTTTATTGAAATAAATGGGGGTTCCAAAACGCCTGTAAATAGGTGTATCGAGACCAAAAGATACAAGACGATATGCCCAATACGGGGTGTATTGTATCGATACTTTGAACCTTGGTTATCATTGGCAGTGACAAGTTGGGGATTGATAGGTTGAAGACTTTCTTGCATGGTCACTTCTAGATAAAGGACCTTGGAAAATTAAGATACTTCTTAGAGATAGAGGTAGCGAAGTCCAAGCATGGTATTAATTTGTGTAAGAAGAAATATGTTCTTGATTTGCTAGAGGAGACATGTTTGTTAGGTGCCAGACCAGCTGAAACACCCATGGAACCGAATGTCAAGTTGAGTAGTGATGCAGGTGAGGAGTTTGAAGATCTTGGAAGGTATAGGAGATTGGTAGGTAAGTTGAACTACCTAACCATCACTCAGCCTGATATTTCATTTGTAGTTACTGTAGTGAGCTAGTTTATGCAGAATCTCGAATCCCACATTGGGATGTGGTTCTAAGGATTGTACGGTACTTGAAGAGAGTTCCAGGTCGTGGCTTTTTATATAAAAGTGGAGGAAGTCTTGAGATAGAGAGATACACTGATGCTGATTGGGCTGGTTCCATATCTGACAGAAGGTTAGTGCATGTTTCTCAGGGGCAATTTGATGACATGGAGGAATAAGAAGTAGATAGTGGTAGCAAGAAGCAGTGCAAATGTTGAATATAGAGCCATGGCACACACAACATGTGAACTAGTGTGGTTGAAGCATCTCTTGGAGGAAATGGGGTACTTGATTAACACTCCTATGAAGCTGTATTGCGATAACCAAGCTGCGTTTCATATTTCTTCTAATCCCGTGTTTCATGAAAGAACAAAGCATATAGAAGTTGATTGCCATTTTGTAAAAGAGAAGGTGCTTTGTGGAGTGATAAGTACAACATATGTGAACATAGGAAATCAATGGGAAGACTTGTTTACCAAAGGGTTGAGTCGGGGAAGAGTGGATTACATATGTAACAAACTGGGACTATATGACATATATTCACCAGCTTGAGGGGGAGTGTTAGAGTCGGCTGTAGAATGGTAGTATAGTCAATTTACATTGTTTTATATGCTTGATGTAGGTACAAGTAGATCCTAAGTTAAGTGATGTGTCCCACACTTAAGTGGGGGCACAATAGTCATTGTGCATTGTTTTAGAAAACTATAAATAAAACTAGCTGACTAGAGAGAGATCTCTCAAGTTTGAACCGGACCTTCTTTTCTCTTCTTCTCCTCTTCTCTTCTCTTCTCTTCTCTTCTCTTCTCTTCTCTTCTCTTCTCTTCTCTTTCTTCTACTCTTTCACCATTATTTCTCTCTCCTTACTATTTCGAACCTAAGAACATCACAGGTCTGAACTTTATCATTGACAATGATGTGCTGTCCTAATCATCCTTTTCTGGGTATTTGACTACTGGATGCTGGTTATTTGATCAAAGAGTTTTTCATATTTGGCCTTTTCTTGTTTACGTTCAGAGATACCTTTTCATCATTTTGATTTGTTCTGATCTGCTACAATTCTTTCCATTGGTTGCAGGAGGAAGAAGCTTTGGTTGTCCGGATAACTCTGGGGCTGCTGGGACATTTTATGACACTGTTCCTCGGAATCTTATTATAAGCAATCACAACATGTCAACAAACACTGATACGCTTCTTTTAGAGTTTCCCAATCATCCCCTCTGGACAAATGTTTATGTCCGAAATCATGCTAAAGCTACTGTTCCTCTGCTCTGGAGTCGTGTTCAGGTCAGTGAGGATAACTTTTATGTCAGTTCCTACTATCTCTTTGTTGGATTTTACTTCATTATCTGGTTACATTAAAGGATGGCTTGCCTAATAACTCTGCTTTTCATTGAGTTTTGTGTAAAGTGGGTACATTGGATTTATGGGATTGAGATACCAAGTGAAGTGAATCATTTTATTTTATTTATCACCAACATTTGAACCCTGAGTTGATAAAAAAGCATTTGAACCCTGAATTCCCTCCATCTTAGACTGGTAGGTGAAAAAGAAGATATAAATTAGTTCATTTCTTGAGATCCTAAATGACCTCATTTATATAATTTCTTAAACAATTGAATATGTCTCCATTGTAGATGCTGGACTTCTTAGATGCAACTGAAAGCTATAGTAAAATCATTTCATTCCAAGTCTTTGAGTGCCTTGTTACTTATAAACTTCTTATAGCTTGAAGGAGATATGTATCTTATAAGCTTCTTATAATTTTTTTTTTCTTTATCAGCTTCTTTTAATTGTTTTGATGAACAGGATATGGTTATCTATAAGAAAGGAAATACGGATCCAACTGAACTTAAAAAATGAGAAGTGTGTTTCTGTGTTTCAGAAGATCAATATCAACCAATTATGGATGCCACCATATTGCTTTTGAGTTAGGGAGGTGGGACACAACAAAGAGCTCTTAAGAACATGGATACCTCTAAAATATAATAAGTTAAGGGTTCCTCTTCTTTTTGTAATATCAATATATGCCTCAAATCTTCTATTTTTTAAAAAGGAACTCAAAACAGCTGTAAAATGTAGTAAACAACCTAAGACCATTTAATTCAGAGGGCTATATAGTTTCATAATTATTTATTTCTGCCTCAAATCTTCTATTTTTTTTAAAAGAACTCAAAATAGCTGTAAAATGTAGTAAACAGCCTAAGACCACTTAATTCAGAGGGCTACATAGTTCCATAATTATTTATTTCTGCTTTATTATTGAACAAGGAAATTGTTTTTAGATAGAAGAAAAACAGCCTTTTGAGAAGAAAGGACTGTTTAGAAAGTTGCAAAAATTCAAAAGAAAGTAGCAGAAATCAGAGTTCAAGAGGAGAGAAGAAGAAGAAGGTGGCGGCAACTTGGGTTCAGAGAGAGATTTTTCGAACATAATCTCTTCTCTTACTCCCTTAATTCTATTTCATTAAGTTAAGCTTTAGTAATTTACAGAGAAGCCCCTAGTTGGGCAAAAAATTAAAAAAACATAACATAAGGAAGAATAAAGCTCAGATTAAGGCCCATTACAGCAAAGAACATAAAAGATAAAAAAGGATAAACAGCATTGGGCCATTCGACCCATCTTCTCTACATTCCCCCTCAAGCTGAGCATAGATGTCAATCATGCCAAGCTTGCCAGTATCATGCTGAAGTTTAGCCTTGGGAATGCCCTTGGTGAGGAAATCAACTAACTGTCCTTCAGAGGTGATGAAAGGTAGACAC